CGCTACAATGAGAGTTGATAGGATTTAAAGCGGAGGAGGTCAGAGCGTTGTGGTGGCGAGAGTTGATAAAAAGGGTCAACAATCTAGGATGAAGTTTGTAGGAAGGGTCAATGACTTATCCTACGATGTTGGAGTGTTATGTGGCCATTTATAAATCTTCAGGATAAGATCGATGCACTTCAAGGTGATATAGTAGACAGGTGATGAAGTACCGAAAAGGATGACCAAGAGGGTGACGGAGAGGAGGGTCATACACAATTGTGGTTAAATGATGTATTAGAAATATTTTTGTTATCTGTGGAGCGGAAGCGGATGGCCCCATGGGAGACGGGAAAGGTGGCGGAGGAGGTGACGAGCCCAATGAGGTGGCAGTGTCTGACCCCGAGGAAGTGGCTATCTTCGGGACGAAGGAGGTGATGGTCCCCAGGACAGAGAAGGAGATGACGTCAATCATGACTGAGACTAAGAAGCGTATTGTTGACGTGCAGGAGCAGGCGATCGACAAGAGACTGATACTGTAGTCACAATACTTCGTCTCTTCATTCACGGCTAAAGTGAAGAGCAGAAGGTTTATCAACGGGACGTACCCCAATCTTTTTTAAGAGATGGACCATGCCAAGTGAAAAAAGTTCGAAATATAGTAGAGAAAAATTTTGCCTAGGTAAGTATTGTATGATTTTAGTAAGGTACGTTACTCTAACTCTTATATGCTTCTTTTTAACATTTTCTCTGTTTTTTCAGAGCTAGCCACAAATGCTTATAAGTGGTTTCATGATATCACCACTTTGGGAGCTTGGCTCACCGACAATGTAAGTAAAGTAGTCGTATTATAATTTTTTATGTATACATAATATTTGATTTATTAAACGAAATAACTCCCTCTTTTTTAGCATTTCTTGATGTAGTACATCGACCTGACCATGAACTTGTTACGTGATTGAGCTGAAAGATATCCAAAATCATTTCGAATTCCTGGCCGAGTAAGATTGAATACCGAGTTCTTTTGTGTCGTTACCATAGAGTATCAGTCGCACCAACTTATGGATAACGAGTCACGGTACCTGATTATATACTCGAGTGGGTCATCGGGATGTCGCCGAGTGTCAGGAAAAAGCCATGGGAGGGTTGTATGTATATGTACATTTCAGTGATTGCGAATAATCACAGCATTGCCGTGAAGATCGTCTTCGCTGACCCAGCTATACATGTGTACAACCCTGATCATTCATGTCTGACACAAGATCAGTTCGAGCAAAACTTAGAGCCGATGGTTGTGATCATTCCTTTGATAGCTAGATAAGTGGGAGTGACTATGCAAGACAGACTAGCCATTGTGGGGGATACTTTGAAGGCAAGACAGTCCATATCGTAAGTGTTTGTAATGTTTTAAAATTTTAAAGTTAGTTTTTAGCTACACGATGTCGAACTAACACATTATTGTTCAATTGTAGAGGCAATTGCGACATGTTCGCTATAAAGTACATTGAATTTTTTAATATAACATATAAAATTGATGAAAACAGCTAATCGTGGATACAGATTTGGAGGAATAAGTTAGCGAGCGATTTATATGAATTTAATTGAGATTTGTAAGTATTGTATATTGAATTTTTTTAATTATAAGATAATTGTAAATATTGTCAAATTTATGCAAATATTATACATTAAATTTTTTCATAATTATGATATCATTGTAAATATTGTCAGATTTATGTAAATATTATACATTGATTTTTTTTTATTTTTTTGTAATTATAAGATAATTGTGAATATTGTCAAATTTACGTAAATATTATACATTGATTTTTTTTAATTATGAGATAATTGTAAATATTATCAAATTTATTAAATATTGTACATTAAATCTTTTTGTAATTATGAGATAATTATAAATATTGTAAAATCTATGTAAATATTATACATTAAATTTTTTTTGTAATTGTGAAACAATTGCTTATTTAATTACAAATAGATGTAAATATTGTTAATTTAACATCAATATCATTACATACATGTCTAATTGTCATTTAGGAAAATCTGACTTGTACAAAAATAGCGAGTATGTCATATTGCTCTGCACTTACCGTACCTACGCGGTCGAGAAAACTCTCCGGTAGATGGTATTCTAGACGTACGCAGACGTTCAGAATCACGTTGTTTAACTTATTGTGGAAACAATGTATTAAGTGGGAGAATATGATCGAGAACTTCCCACTCGACTTCATTTGGTAAAGGAAATATAGTTTCAACATACGCTGCTCTCTAAGAATCGGTCGTGTAATATAGAGAGCATAACGTTCTCACTGCAAGACTTGGATACATAGCTACTACAACTGCATGCTCACATGAAAAACTCTCCAACTTAAATCAACTACAAGTGCATGTGTTATAAATCAAGTCCACCATGTATGCCTATTACGTGCACATTTTAGGGAAAAAGCACAACGCATCGGGTGGTTCCACATTCAACTTTCTCGTAACCTTTGCAGCCTTAAAGAGTTTGTCTTCTTAAACTGGGGCTAGTATGCTAGTTGATCTTCTAATTTGAGGTTCCGATGTAATAGGTTGCTCCCTGTGCTCAACATCCACTAAATCATTTTCATCAACCCTTGCTAACTCATCAGCATGATTGTTAACATGAGTTTCTATCCCCTGAATGGTACTGTCTGGAGGCAATGAGACAGATGTAAGGTCAATGACATCCTCAGTAACATGTCGTTGATTCCTAGATTTCTTGAAATCCGCTAACTTCTGATTTTCATGAAAAATTATATCTCTGCTTCTGATTATTTTCTTCTTTTCTAAATCTTATAGTCTATAGCCAAATTCTACATCTCCTTAGCCAACAAAAATGCAAGTATTAACTTTATCATCTAGTTTCAGCCATTGTTCCTTAAGCATGTGTGCAAATGCTTTGTATCCAAAAATCTTTAAGTGAGAATAAGAAACATCATTTCTTGTCCACACCTTTTTTGAAATCTCAAAATCTAAAGGAACTGATGGAAACCAATTGATTAGATAGCATGCTGTTTGAACTGCTTCACCTCAGAATGACTTAGGTAACTCAGTCATCTTTAACATACTTCTGACTTTTTCACAATGGAATGGTTCATTCTCTCTACCACATTGTTGCGTTGTGGGATACCAGGAACTGTCTTATCATGTCTAATACTATGTTCTGAACAGTAATCTTCAAACATTTTAGACATGTATTTCCCTCCGATGTCAACTCAGAGACATTTCAAAACCTTTTTTGCTTTCCCATTCCATCATGGCATGAAATTTCCTGAAGTGCTGAAAAACTTGATCTTTTTATCTCAAACAAAATACCCACAAATTTCGTGAAACATCATCGATAAAAGTAAGAAAATACTTATTGCCACCTAAAGACTCCACCTCAATAGGACCACAAACATCATAATAAACCAAATCTAAAATATTAGACATTCTATTAAAGGACTTCTGAAATGAGACTCCATGCTGTTTACCAAGTAAACAATAATCACAAAAATTTAATGATGTACCTTTGGCAAAATGAATGATGGACTACCTTGCCAAAATTTGCAATCCTCTCTGTTATGTGAACCAGCTGCTTGTACCACAAATCTAGTGAAGACTTACTTTTAGTTGCATTCATCACTTCAGTACATACCTTGTGTCTTGTAAAGTGTGCAATAAGCCTTTCTTCTAGCAAATACCATCGTACCTTTTAATAGTTTCCATCTTTTGTTACCAATATAATTGATATAACTCGCTTCATCGAAGGTATGTGTATATGGCAAACTCAGGCGTATGTCTGGAATATGTTGCACATTCTTCAATGTCAAGCTCCATCCAATTTCAACAATGTTGGCAAAATTGTTATTATCAATTTTCACACTACCAAAACCTCCCAACTATCAGGCAATGAACTCAGAATTAATAGTGCTTGGATTTCATTATCTAGCACTATTTTCATTGTAGTCAATTGATTTACCAAGTTTGAAATTCTCTCAAATGCTCAGCAACTGATTTTCCTTCCTTTAGCTTCAAATTCACAAGTTTTCTAATAACAAAAGCTTCATTTTGAGCAATCTTCCTCTCATAGAAACTCTATTGCTTCTCCTAAAGACTGTGCATTTGTCTCTTGAAATATATGATGGAAAACATTAAGATCAATCCATTGTCTAATATATCCAATAGCTTTCCTATTTATTTTCTTTCAATCACTGTCACTCACACTGCTTGGCTTAACACTATCACCTTTAATAGGTTCATGTAAATCCTTACAATAAAGGATATCCTCCATCATCGGCTTTCAAATAGAATAATTTGGAAGCCTATGGTAGATGATAATGTCCAAAGTATTCTCCATTTACTCCAAAATAGAACTACACCCACACAACCTGGCTCTAATACCACTTTATTGGGCAATTCACTTATTGCAAGAATAAATTCACAATCCAAGCAAACAACTAATTAAATACCAAAAGAGCAATAAAAAATGAATAAACCAAATTTACGTGGAAAAACCCTTCAATCTAGAGGGAAAAAGAATCACAGAACAACTTCGGCCAAATTGACTATAATAAAATCGAGTTTACAATACTCAAATTTATGCCCAAAACTGGAGTTCTCAACAAATTGGAAAATACCAACAATGATCAACCTCTAAGTAAACAACAATCTCACTCCAAACTACTAGTTTATGAAACTTGTGAGAAACTCACTTTAAATACTACATTCAACTAAAGTATCCAAAATAAATTCACTTAGAGAAATCTCCAATCTGTACTATGTAGAGAAAAAAACTACGTGAATCCACACCTAAAGATTGAAGAAAAAACATTTTTCCCTTCCAATTATTTTCCCCTCTTCTAGCAACCTAGTTTTTTTCCTTTTTTCCTAGCCAACGCCTTATTTGTATGTGTGTGTATATATATATATATATATACACCACTGTTTTTGAATTCCTTCACCACCAGCAACGATATCTTATTTTTAGGAATATATATGCCCATATGAACTCAGTAGCGGATGGAACTATCGACCGTCGGTCACTGGGAGTGGACAGTGGACTGACTAGTTTGTTTTCAGATGTAGACATTTTCTTGGCTGTGGGCCTGTGCCGTAGTTGGGTCAGCAGTTTCAAATGTTTTTGGGCCTCTATTTATTTATTTATTTTATTTTAAATTAGGCCCAAGCATTCTCCAATCCATTACCATATAACCAGATTATTCCCTAAACTAAAGGCCTAAACATTACTGACCAGTGACCAGCACTCCAGCACTAGCAGGCAGCCCGTAGCAGCAGCGAACAACAAGCTTCCTTTCCCCTCCCGAATCAGTCTTGTTTTCTGGTTTCCTTCCCGTCAAAATCGGTATTATTTTAGGCTTTTTACATGTTTTTGCATAAATACATAATTCTCTAATTCTCTATGTCACTTGTTAATTTGTAACCAGTTTTTAATATTTCATATCAATTGCCAAGTTTACTTTTTGTTAGTGAGTGGTGACTGGTGAAGTTGGACAATTTTTCAATATTTGCTCAGTTTTCTCTAATATATATAGATAATAGATGGTTTAGAAATTGCTGAGGCTGGGCATTTACTTTATAATATCAATTTGTGATTTGTGAAGATATAATATGGATGGGATGGCATAAATAAATTACGAATTCTGTCATTTTTTATGCTTATTTTTGTCCATTATTATTTATTAATTTGTCAGTTGGGATTAAAGAGTCCAATAAAATATTCTAATGATATAAACCATTGAAGTTTTTAATTCAATCTCCATTAAGTAGTTTATTAAATAAGTTTATTAGAAAAAATAAAATTATTCATGCATATTTCACTGATTCAATCAATAAATGTTTTGTTCAGAATGTATGATTGAATTGGTTCGAGGCTCATAATTACTGATCCACACATCTTCTGTGATGATCCTAAATGAAATCATAGGCTATTAATTCGAGTTAAGAGCAAAAAAAAAAAGGGAAAAATTGCATATACCCACAATAAAAATAATATTTCCTAATTCCTATTATACTATTGAATGATATGTATACTAACAATATTGCAAAACACTTGGGGATTTTTTTTGTTGAATTGTTGATTTTTTAATCAATTGTAATTGAAAATTAAGTTGGGGCATTTTGCAGATTATGGAACGATTTTTTTAATCAAAACGAAAGTCTATACCTAGTTCTCCTAGTTCTAGTTGTGCTTCTAGTCCCGCCACTGCTTCTAGCCAAGCACTCGAGTTGTTAAACAGCACAAAGAAGTCTCGGGCTCAATTAAATGTGGATGATCTTGTATCTGATCCAAGAAAATGCCCCCTATCGAGTCATATGATCCTTATATTAGAGATGATGTTAGGATGACATATTTGGAAAAAGGTCCTTGTCAACCACAAGGACATGACTTTCCAAGAAGAAGGATAGGAAATGATAATAGGTGTTTTCGAAAAGAATGATTTTCTGAATTTTATTGGTTGGAATACAGTATAGAAAATGACGCGGCTTATTGTTTGCACAGCTACTTGTTCAAACCTGATAGAGGGGGTCAAAGAGGTTGACATATATTCACTAAGACCGGCTTTAGGGATTGGAAGCACAAGAATACATTGAAAGATCATGTCAGGCTCATTGATAGTGCTCATAATCAAACTTTTACAAAGTGTACCAATTTGATGAATCAAAAGCAAAGTATCTCTTATGCTATTTCTAGCTAAAGTACTAGTCAACAAAAAAATTATAGGACAAGGTTGACTGCGGTGCTAGACTGTACTAGATTCCTCTTGATGCAAGGATTGCCATCTCGTGGTCATGATGAATCGAAAGAGTCTCTTAATAAAGGAAATCTAATTGAGCTACTAAATTGGTATGCATCTCGTCGTAAGAAAATTAATGAAGTACTATTTAGTAATGCTCCTGGAAATGACCAAATGACTTCACCAAGCATCCATAAAGATTTGGTTAATTGTTGTGCTGTAGAGACAACAAGGTCTATGATCAATGAGATGGGTAATTCTTTCTTTTCAATTTTGGTTGATGAGTCTCGTGATAATTCTATAAAAGAACAAATGACAGTTGTTTTGAGGTTTGTTGACAAAAGTGGACAAGTAAAGGAGCGTTCGTTGGGCATTTCCCACATCGCTAATACTTGTGCCCAATCACTAAAGGATGACATTGATGCAATGTTTTCTACACATGGGTTGAGCATATCTAGCCTGAAAGGTCAAGGTTACGATGGAGCAAGCAATATATCAGGTTATTTCAATGGCTTAAAAGCTTTAATTTTAAGAGAAAACCCTTGTGCTATGTTTGTTCATTGCTTTGCTCACCAGCTTCAGTTAGCAGTTGTTTCTGTGGCACATAGGAATGTTATGATTAGTGATTTATTTAACATGCTTGCAATAATTGTGAATTTGGTCTGTGCATCATGTAAACGTGTAGATGCTCTTTGAACAAGTTATCATTCTGAAATTTTGGAGAGGCTTAATATTGAGGAACTTTCTAGTGGAACTAGTCAGCTTCAAGAAATGAGTTTGGCACGCCCAGGTGATACTAGATGGGGCTCACATCTAAAAACAATTACTCACTTTATTAGTATGTTTAATGCGATCATAGATGTTCTTGAGAATATATCAAAAGACGACATAAGTTTAGAGTAAAAATCAATGGCCGTAAGACAAATGGACAATATGCAAGATTTTCAATTTGTGTTCAGTTTCCATTTTATGTTTGAAATTCCTGCAATTACAGACGACCTTTCACAAGCCTTACAGAAAAAAGGATTAGAATATTCAAAATGTTATGAGGTTATTGAAGTTGTGTAAGTATGCATTGCAGAACATGAGAGACAATGATTGGGATACTTTGTTGAGTAAGGTAATTGAATTTTGTGTTGATAGACATATTTCAGTGCACAATATGGACGATATTGCAGTATTGAAAGGTCGACCTAGGCGTGTAACTCAGCAAGTGACTTTTTTATCATCGCTTTTATGTTGATTTGTATTGTTATGTGATAGATTCAATACTGCAAGAGTTGAATGATCGTTTTCCAGAAACAACTACTGAGCTTTTTACTTGCATTTCATGTTTAAGTCCAAGAGATTCATTTGTAGCTTTTGATGTTTCTAAATTGGTACGACTTGCTCAGTCATATCATTTGGATTTCAATAGTGAAGAGCTTTTATTACTTAGACCTCAACTTGACAAGTTTCTTATGCTAGTGAGAATGGATGAAGCTTTCTTCAACCTCAAAAGCATATCTTGTGTAGCTCAGAAGTTGGTTGAAACTTAAAGTTCTTGTTATTTTCCATTGGTTTATAGGCTGATCCCATTGGTTTTGATATTACTTGTAGCAGCTGCAAGTGTTGAAAGGGTATTCTTTGCTATGAATCTAATCAAGAATAATCTGCGCAACAAAATGGGAGATGAATTGTTGAATGACAATTTGGTGGTTTACATGGAGAAATATCTTTTTATAAAACTTGATAATGAGACAATATTGCAGCGTTTTCAAATATGCGACCTCGTAAGATTCAGTTGTCTAAGCTTACAACTTCGGAGTAAGGTTGTATTGTATATTTTTTTAGCATTTTGGGTTGTATTGAACTATATTTTCATATGTATATAATTTCTAGATTTTAGTACATTTACATATATATTGAATAATTTTTAATATTATTTAATCTAATTTTAATAAACAATTGGCCGCCGATCGGACCAGGCTTTTACGATCGTTGATTGTCGACGATCAACGATCAAAGTCAACCTCCGCCCTAGCTGAACATTGATGCTGGATTCGCCACTGTATGACCTACCTCATATTATAGTGAAGTGGGCCTTAATTCCTCATGGGCCGAAAGGCAGCCCATTTAACATCCATGTCATTAATTAGTTTCAGGATTTTCTTTGAATGTATAAAACAATTTTGAAGTTGCTCCGTTAAAAATTCAATCATGCTATGAGTACATTTTATTATCCAAAAGGGTGTCCAAAATGGATAGGCCAAGGCGCCTGCCACGCCGGGGCCCACAGGCGCCTCGGCCAATACCGAGGTGCCGAGTGTCCATTTTGGACACCCTTTTGGACACATCGGTGTACCACAAGCATTATTCTTAAAAATTACCCCGATATCCATATACATTATAGTCACTCATCTTAGAATGCTAACTCGTCAACTTTAGAATCCATATCAAATTAAAATAAATTTCAGGACACTTTTGGGGCAACGGATGGCAAAGTATTGGATTGCTTATTCTCAAACTTTATCTCCTATTTATTTGTTATTTCCTAAACTCTATTGAGTATTATATGATAGTAATTTTATTCTCTAAATCTACCAATTTGTTTCAGGTTGCACCACAACCTACTTAGAAGTTTGCCGCAAGAAATGATGTCATAGCTCCTGAAAAAATAATAACAATCAAAGTCGTAGGTGGGTATTCAAATAAAGGGGAGCACCTTGGGGTCCTATCGGAATAGGTAGGCCCAAGCCTTTCCCCTCCCCCTCCCTCCAGAATTCCGAGGGATCCATGGAGCAATTCTTAATTAGATATAACAAGCACTAGTTAATTTCTATCCATATAGCCCTATAACTAGTGAAAAAAATAATCCTGAAAAAATAATAACAATCAAAGTCGTAGGTGGGTATTCAAATAAAGGGGAGCACCTTGGGGTCCTATCGGAATAGGTAGGCCCAAGCCTTTCCCCTCCCCCTCCCTCCAGAATTCCGAGGGATCCATGGAGCAATTCTTAATTAGATATAACAAGCACTAGTTAATTTCTATCCATATAGCCCTATAACTAGTGAAAAAAATAAATTTACTTAATAAAAGGGGAAAAAAAATATTCCTTTACAAGAGGATATAAGAAGTTGACGTTCGTTAATTTTCTAAATTTTTCAACAAAATATTTGCTCTTCACCAGTATTATAAAATAGTGTAATTTAATCTATTTGTGTGTATTTTGGTTTCATGGTTCAGTAAATAAAAGAAATTTAACACCAATAGCACTAAATATGACTCTCAGTCGAAACTACAAAGACCAGTGCTACAAAAATTTCTGAAGTGATAGATTTAGTGCTATTTACGCAAGTTTTCCTTTAATTTATGACTTGAAGTTATGACCTCCAAGGTACGGTCTCATGGGGCCAAGTACTTGGGCCTTTAAAGGCTTATTTGGACCTTGATGGATTTTTGTCCAAAAAACTAAAAGACATCTTTTTCATTAAAAAATCTTTACATCTGCCTCATTTTATAATTTTTGAAATACCTAATTTTTATTTAAAATTAAGTCAGTTTTTCATTAAAATTCACACTTTTTAGTTACATCTGTAGCATATATTGTGTGTTACTTTTTACTAAAAAATCTACCCTTTTACAGGATAATATGTTTGTGTCATCCTGTATTACTTACATAACTTATTTTTTTAATTTGTATGGTAACATATGTGTTATTGTGTTACTCTTATCCTAAAATGACACTGCCCTTCCAACATTATTTTTTCACCGTTGCTGCTTCCTTCCACACCACCTCCGCCATCCTTTCTCGTAGCCACCAACTGGGTTGGACTTCTCCAATTTAAACATTTATCACTTCTTTTTCCTGACTAACAACATTCCAATCACCCACAAAAACCACCACTATCACCTATTGTTGTTTACCACTATTATTGTCATCCTTGCACCAACCATCATCCTCCACAAAATATTTTCTCT